GTCATTTTTTGGGGGGGGGGGGGGGATATTAAAAAAATAAAAACTTTGTCCGACCTACCGACCCTATGCTGAAATTTCATGTTCCAGGAAACACACTACTTTTTTTTCTACGCCTAATGTGGAAAAACTTTCATGCATGAAAGCCATTCCCACTTTTCTGCTCCCCTTAGACGACGAAAAATCCCCCTGTTCCGTTATACGAAATCTTTTTCTCTGCTCTTGCCTCGCAACGAGATTCACTACAATGAAAACAAGCCTTCCGCAAAAGTCTAATCCAACCTCAGCCTACAGAGACCTCTGCTGCTTAGCTCCGAAACTGCAACAGCAACCACCACACTGGTTTACACATGCGCAGTAGTCCAGGAAGTATTTCGTTGCATTGTTAAAATGGCTACAAAACGGACGTTTGGATGCCAAGCAGCTAAGACAAGAATAGCTCTGACGCTGGAAGAGAGGGTAAAAGTGATCAAAATGAAAGACGGAGGAAGCAAAATAAAAGACATTATCCAAGAAATTGATGTAAGTGAAAGTGAATGCTGATCATAAATTTCGCAATTTCTTTCCCTTTTTTTCTCTTTGTGCACAACTGTACATTGGCTATACAGTACAGTATTGTACAGTATGAAGTGTCTTTCGGATTAGGATTGTTTGATTTCAAAAATCATTCTTTAAATTCCAATTTAAATCGGGTAAAAATTAACAAATCAGTACTTTTATTTTCTATCAATTACTTTTTCACAAATGGATAGAAAATTTGAATGTTGCTTTACAACATAACCAAAAAATGTAACTGATTTTTGGGTGTTTTTTTTTCTTAGTTTTGTATCATTAAATTTATTAATTACATGTTCATAAGGTGTTACAGTACTGTATGCAGAAGACATATTCATTACTGTAGTGTTATGCTTCAGGTGCATTTTATACAAGTAAAGTTTGAAATCAATTTATAGATATTGAAACTTCTTTTTTTATAAAAGAGTATAAAATACTTTTTTAAACCAACAAAGTGGAGTGATTAATATAAAAAAAATTGTATGTTAATGTTAAACAATATCAAATGAGTGTATGCTCACATTTATGCACTACGTCCAGTATTGGAATAAAAATAAAGAGGACACATACTTTTTTGTGTGTGTGTGTGTGTGTGTGTGTGTGTGTGTGTGTGTGTGTTTACATCTGAGATAAAATTTGCTACAGTGAAAAACCCCCTGTTGTGAAAAATTTCTTGCTGCAAACATGATTTCATTGTAGAGGAGTTTCACTGTAATAACAGTGTGAAAGAAAGCTACTCTATGTAAAACTAATTAAACTTTGCACACACAACAAGCCTGACAAAATCATCAATGTTAATTTAGTGGGTTTTTTTTAATGGCTCAGTAGTGCCATTACAAATTTAAAAACATGTTTGAATGTGTTTGCAAATACTTTGAATGTGTACTAATCAAACGGCAAGTAACTGAACCAGCCCCTCCTTCTCATCACAAACACAAACTTACAGATGAAGCACAAACAGGAATTGTATTCGAACAGAATGGCTATTTGTGAAGTTTTTAATGTTTTAACACTTGGATAGATGGACGGAAAAATACATTGCTGGGGGAGCTGAAAACACATGGTTGTCAATACAATAGCCTGAATAGGCTTTTATGTTGAAGTTGGCCCTCACAACGCGTGGTCGAGGTCGAGTGACAGCTGCCTTGACTCATCCTCATGACTTTTCGGTTGACCTTAATCTCAGTTTTTATTGCCATCACATGCCTACCAACATCAAAACAATGCCATCCCAAAAGCATATTCAATTGCTATTGCTTATTCAGGAGCCGGCGAAATCAAATTAATTAGGCTGTCACTGTATGACACAGCACAAGTCATTGAGTTTAGTGGCCAGGGAGTAAACCCCACATACTCTCCAACATATGATGGCAGCCGAAATTACACAAAATACACAAAACACGTAAATCGTCCTTTTTTTTAACCTGGCAAGGCAAAATATATCAAGCACGTTAAATAATGACCTCAATGTCTCATGAGACCGAAACCTCACTGAAAGTCAGCGTGGGCCCATGTGACAGTTTTGTCTTCTGTGAACGCCCACGCCTCACCCCCTCCACTCCGCTCTCAATAAAGTCATGACCAATCAAATCGCAGCATTTGCGATTCGAAAGTAGCGTTTCAGAAAGTCATGATTATATTGCAAATGCAATTAATCGTTCAACCCTATTTCAGGCACATGTTTTTGTGGAAAGCGAAGTTCTCTTACCTTACTAACAGTTTTAGCTGTCATCATTTTCACTGCTAACAAAGAATCAAGATAGCATGCAAGTAAGAGTTGTCCTAAAAAGGGTCGAGGTGAGGAATGAGAAAATGTTCACAGATAAAGACAAAATGTCATACCAGATGTCTTGTTTTGTGTAAAAGTGGGCTCCCGGAGAAAATGTTCACAGATAAAGACAAAATGTCATACGAGATGTCTTGTTTTGTGGGCTCCCATTATTGCAATAAGGACAGTATGTTCCATAGAAAGTCTTGCAACAGTGCTATTTCGCTCACTCTCCCCTCAGACAAGGCTGTTAAACATTAGAGATGGGCAGCGCATATCTTTTGTTTTTATTTCTTGATTGAACGGACCTGGAGGTAATCGGGTTTTGGTGTGGTCAGTGAAAAAGAACTCAGCTTTCCCAAAAATGTGATTAGCCATAGTTAATTCATGACTTAACAAGGAGGCAAGTGCATTTTCCACACAGGGCTAGGAAGCCTTGGAAAAAAAACTACGTTATGTTAACGTTTTTTTTGATGGCGGCACAGGCACCCACAGCGGCTCCTCTTGTTGCATGTTGTCTTGAGAGGGAAAGAAATTTCATCTGTGCTGTATGTTGCACATTTGACAAAGTTGTACTTGACTTGATATATATAAAATTCTTTATTACAATGATAAATATGAATTAAATCTCCATTTAAAAACTATATTTTATGTTTATTTGTGTTATCTTTGACACTTCAATTTGTTTGATGATCTTAAACTAAGTGGGCAAACTGTGCAAAAAAAAAAAGACAAAAACGTCAAATCCCTGTTGCTGGCACTGTAGCTTGTCGGCACAATTTTTTTTTTGTCTTTATGACACTGACTATCCACGTGTCTACACGTTCAACACACTTAAAATATGACAAGTTAAAAGTGAAATCAATGAGTAACACTTACTTTAAGCGTAACAGCAGCTGCCTTGATGATGAAATCATTAACAGAAACTTTGATCTGGTCTGAAACAACAAAGAAACAACAGAATGTGTGAGTCATATCAATGAGACATAATGACAGCCAGACAGCTGGAGAGGGGGTCTGCCTAAGCTCTCAGGGTTCCATTCTGCTTGGCTGATGTCCAAGAAAGTGACAAAAGGAGCGACTATCAAAAACACGAGAGACACAAATACAAAACAAACTCTTGAATTAAACTTAGTTGCTAAACAGTGAAAACAGCTTAAGAGGATGTGGCAACTGAAACCGACAAATTTATTCATTGAAAATCATCACATGCTTGGAAAGAAAGGACTTCATTCATTCACCAGCCGTTCCCAAAAAAAAAAACAGTTCTTTAACTTTGTTTTATATTTTTATGAGGTTACTGGCAGTCACTATTTTGTTGAGACCACTGGAAAAATTAATTCACAGTCCTCTGTACTGGGTGTGCCAACATAATGACATAGCGACTACAATATACATTTGCAGGAAGCAGATACAGTACAATGTTTGACGATTCTTTTTTCAGCGCAATTTCTTTCTTTTTTTTTTCTTAACTCTTGGAGGTTTCCATTACATCCAAATCCATTTCAATCAGTTTGACAAGCACCTTTCATTTTCATTGGCAAAACATGTTTGCGCGATGCGTGGAATGAGAGTTCCAACTAGCGTGACCAAGTAGTTATGTACCAGTGTTTCTTTTCAGTGCTACTGACTGATCTCTTTGTCAAATGAGCTGTCATGTGAAACTCTTGAAATTCTCATCAAGGACAACAATTAATAATGATGATATTGTCAATTAAAGCTAAACTATGTTATTATACAGAGGTGACATAAGATACAGCATAAGTGTACAGACGTGTTTTGTTTACCATTGGCCAAGTCTTTACGAAGCTTCATTACTGCAGCCATATCACAGTCAACAGAGGCGTAAGCGTGGGGGATGGTGGTTTTGGACTGTGTTAGCCTTTGAGCGATCACGCGGCGGACATTGGAGGCTGGATGCTCTGTGAAAGTGCCCTGAGGAATAACATTGTCGAAGTCAAGAGTCTGTGAATTACTGCACGCATGGAAAATAGCACTTTAGGGGAATCAATTGGGAAATAAGGCGACAACAAGAATGGTGTGCAGTCTAATGCTGACATCACCCAACGGTCATCAACTATAACATGGACCAGGTTGTTACAAAGTAATTGACAACCCTGTTACGGTAAATTGATGGTAAGTCTGAACAGTCATTGATTCAAATTATAACCCATGATATTACATACAAAGGTCATGTTTAACAGATTTATGTCTTAAAATAGAGTGGATATTGAAACCAAGTCAAATGTGTCTGACACTGGCAAAAATTTAGCAACACCAGCTGTGTTAGCTAAAATGTTTGCAATGCATACAAGTTCTGCTTTGCCTAAAATCCGTGTTGCACTATCCCCACAGCGTCACATTAGTAACAAACATTCACTTGTGCTCTTGCTGTTCATTACATTTGTCTTTTTTTTTGTGAACAAAATCCTTGTCCCCAGCTGCTATTCATGTGTGACTATTTCGAAAGCAGGTCTATTCAGAGTGCACGCTGTCGCATGGCAAAGCTTCGGTCACGTGAGCAAAAGTGGGCGTATTCTGGGAGTGCAGTGACGGAAGCCCACGTCAAGTGTACTGAAGGTGGGTATCATTCAGGCACAAAGTAGCGTAGCAAAGCCCCGGTCAATGAAATGATGAGCATACCCAAAGTGGTAACATAACAACAAGCATTCTTCTCAGCTTCTGTGTCTCAAACACTCAACCGCAAATTGGTAAAAATTCAATCAGTACCTTTGACAGGTATGTGTAATTTAAAACCCACCGGTGTGCCTGGATTTCCCGGTACAGAAAGAGGAGGTATGTTGGGTCTGCTGCCTGGTGGTGGCGGGATAGCTGATGCGACTGGGGCAGGACCCGGAGAAGGTGGAGCAATAATGGGTGTCGTTTTTGGCTTCGGGGACAACTTCAAAACATTTAATGCATCTCTGTTGGAACCAAAATAGAACAAAAAGATTAGAAACGGCAATTGCAGGATCACGGTACGAGTAGCGCTGCAGACAATGAGCTGCTCAAGAGATGCCACTCTGCTTCCTGAGCACCACCAATGTATCTTTGGGCAAGGCACTAACCTCACATCCCCTAGCTCAGAGGTGCAGCATTGATTGTGCATCCCTTACTCTCATGATGCGATTATTATCATTGCCGGTTTATAGGGAATACATGGGGGAAAAAAAATTTCCATTTGTCAGTCTGATTATTTTAATAAGCAGGCCGATACTGACCTGCCACATTCAAGGAGCTTACTTAAATATAGAGGGCAATCAACAAGTTTTATGTTTAGTGTCACGCTCAACTACTGCGTATGAGACAACCAAAGCTTTGTTGAAATGATTAATTTTTGATGTTACTCATTAGTCAACCACTGGTGACGGTATCGATATGTACAACACCATACTATTCTTTCCTACAGTATACAAAAGGCAGGCATGACAAAATGATGAGAGCCGGTATGTTATTGCTCTGAGTACACAGGATTTATACAATTAAAAACATGAAGCAGAACAATTTCTGTTCAAAACCATTCAAGATTATGTTCACCCAGTAATTTCGAGCTATGCAGGAAAAGAAGTGAGAAGGGCATGTATCAGGTGCATCTATTTGAAGAGTTCCAATTCCAATTCAGGCCAGCAGGGTCCATTGTACCCACATGCATTCACCCTTTTGTGTGGATCAGTTGCCTCTGACCTCACCATGTAGTCTAGGCCCCATAGCGGTTTTGCCCCTCCCTTGTTCCTGCATTCTTACATTTCCTGTAAAACACAGAGGCCTTGTTTCCTTATTGATAGGAGTATGTGCTTGTGGAAGAACTGAGGGAAGTTGGAAATTCCACCTTGGATGAACTCAGACCAGTCACCGGGGCCCTAGTGCCCCCCTTAAGGCTTAAAATTTTACGTTCGGCATGAATGTAGAGACATGTCTCTACTCAAACCCACTCTTTAGTGATTAGTCCTCTTGGTCCAGTCGGTGTGGCCAATTTTGGATCAACGCCATGAGTGTCCAGGATGTGTCTTGCTGCTGGGCTTAGTCGTAACCTAAAGAAAATTGAGCCATGAAGACAAGTTGCTGTTAGACCAAAATCTTTTATTTCATGGCCCACTTTATTTTGTGTCAAATTATTCCTTTAATTCAAGTCTCTGATGGAGACTTGCTACCTAATACGCTAATTGTACTCCTGTGACTCGAAATCAAAAGTATTCTTTTTTTTTCCCCCAATCCATTTTCAACAAAGTTGATGCCAACTTTCAAATCTTTATGTCTCACGTGGCTCACTGCAAAATGTTTGCATTACACACTCAGCAAACGGTGGCAGATAGTGCCTATTGTGTGAACAAGGGCAGACAGGCTTTCTGAAATTCAGGAGGTTTACCTTTCAACGGTAAATACAGCTTGAGAACGTAGATGCTGTTTTATGAGGGTGACAAGATAATTGCCAAGACTAATCAATAAATAATTGGTGATGCAATACAAGTCCAATAAAAAAAATACCTCCCTCAATGATTGTACTGTATATTATATTCATTTCATTAAATGTATTTTAATTAGCATCCTTATAAATTGCAGAATTTTAAGCTGTTGAGCTGTCGGCCATTATTCCACTGTGTTCTACTTATTTTAAAGTTTTTGCCGTGCTATTGTATAAGTATCAGCATTTAGGTACTACATATGCATGCAGGTATCGTATCTAAGTCGGATTGCTGGTATTGTGACACCACCATTAGATGGCACTTACGATCCTACTGGGACTGTTTTTGGAGGAGGAGCTGGTGAAGAAGCAGGAGGAGGCACAGCAGTGGCAATAGTTTCATGGGTAGCAGGTGGGGGTGCAGATGGAGAGGGAATCTCAACCTGTCTCCAGTCCTGTCCCTCTTCCACCATAACAGCAATAAGAGTTCCCAGGCGCACATTGCGACTTCCCTCCTCGATCTGAAATGTGGGAGTCATAAGTATTTTTGTTCTCAATAAAGTGGTAGTGCATTAACATAAACACGTTCATCAAACAGAAAGAAAGTGAGGAATAACAATGCATGCTATGTTGTAGCTCACTGTAATTGAATTATTCGACTGATATATAATTGGCTGTTGTGTAGTGTAACGAGTATGCTTTCTGTCACCACTGATTCAAGATCCTGTTAAGAGCTAATCTAAATACACTGTGGCATTTACAACTCTCTCCACGGTCTACTGGACATTGTCAATCAATCAATCCTGGTTCAGTCAAAATGAAAGGCCATGCATAATAGACTGCTGGATGCACTTGATCAGTTTTCAAAAGGTATTCCTTTTGTGAGCTGTCTCTTGTTGTCCGTCAATACAGCGTAAAAGAAATTTGCAAAGTCTGTGGCGCCAAATGATCGAAGTAGGGAGAAAGTCTACAAATCTGCTTTATGCAGACTTGTAAAATACAGGGTACCGTTAAAGTAGTCAAACACTGTTTGCTGAAACATATTGTTGTTCGTTATGATGAATATTCAGTGCTAACGTTTAATACATTAAGTATATATATATATATATATATATATATATATAAATCGTGTGTGTGTGTCTGAATGCGCCTTTGAGCAGTGGAGTTAAAAGGAGTAAGTGTGCTTTGGGTCCGAAAAATCCACATTGGGAGCGCATGTACACACAATATCGTTTTCCTACACGTCGGCCCTGATGGGAGGCGGAATGAAAAGTCGGCGAGGCAGAAAGCGAGGACGTCAGGGGAGGAGGTGCTCGTCTTCCCGGTGGAAGCTGCCGGTGGGGCACAGGAGAGGCTGGCTGGAGCAATTTGTGCTCTGACTCTTCAGGCTCTCCGTGGACTCGGACGACCCTGCGGAGGAGACGCGGCGGCCCGGGAGAACGTGAGACGGGCGAGCGCGTCGGCCCGTACGGGAATACGAAGCGGCAAGAGCGGGACAGGAAAGCCTACATACCGCGCTTACTCCTCAATACCGATAGAGCAGGAGTCGGGACCGAGGGCTGGTGAGGAGTGAGGACGGTGAAGAAGGTGGAGCAGCGCAAGGAGAGGGAAATGTTAGGAAATGAGAGGAGGACACCGCCCGTGTGCAAAGCATCCCCGGAGTGAATTCAAGATGACAGACAAAACATACCAGAGTGGACACTTAACACCGGAGAAGCCGATTTCGTTGAGAGACGACGCTCATCGGTCACAACATTAGGTACACCTGCGCCATCCAACGCAAGAGCTACACTCGGAAATAAAATGATAATTAGGTTGACTTTTGATTGACGGTCGGGGAGCTATGTCTGAATGTTGTGGTTGTAGTTCGAGATGTATTGACGTTAGATTAGGACGCATACATTTGTCAAATTGAAGCACTTTCGAGATTTTTCTGATGACAAAACGGTTCAATGAAAAGTGATTTTTTTTTTTAATTATTATTTTTTTGCCCTGAAAAATAAATACAATTCTATTTTACAGAAAAATAATGAGGCTGTGTTCTTAGTATTTTTACTATAGACAAGCTAACCATTCAGTAGAAAAATAAGCAACTTTGTCCTTTAAAATCTAAAATTAATGTACTTTTTTAAATCTTGACAAAGCATCAATTTACGATACTGGGTTGATGCAGTTCTTTTCCACTACAAAATAAACGATCGTGTACCTCTGAGCATTATTATAATAGTTAAAGCTCTGACGCAGCTCTTGCTTTGGATCGCGTTGGTC